CTTTCTTTCTTTCTTTCTTTATAAAGGTTTATTTATTTAGTCATGAGAGACAGAGAGAGAGAGAGGCAGAGACACAGGCAGAGGGAGAAGCAGGCTCCATGCAGGGAGCCTGATGTGGGACTCAATCCTGGGGCCAGGATCACACCCTGAGCCAAAGGCAGATGCTCAACCACTGAGTCACCCAGGTGTCCCTGCAGTAATATTTCTTTCTTTCTTTCTTTCTTTCTTTCTTTCTTTCTTTCTTTCTTTCTTTCTTTCTTTCTTTCTTTTTCTTTCTTTCTTTCTTTCTTTCTTTCTTCTTTCTTTCTTTCTAAAGGTTTTATTTATTTAGTCATGAGAGACAGAGAGAGAGAGAGGCAGAGACACAGGCAGAGGGAGAAGCAGGCTCCCTACAGGGAGCCTGATGTGGGACTCGATCCTGGGGCCAGGATCACGCCCTGAGCCAAAGGCAGATGCCCACCCTCTGAGCCACCCAGGCATCCCAGCAGTGATATTTCTTGAAGGAAAGTTGACTTTCACAGTCTTCTGAGCATTTGTGATGCATAGGCATAATTATAAACATGTCCAAGAGCCTGGGCATTGTCACATGTGTTCAGTCATTTGACTCCTTGTGGCCTCATGAAGTGTGTGGTTCTTTACTGTCTCAGTGGGGAAAGGCAGGCCCAGGGGTGCAGCCCCCATTCGGGAGAGCCCAGCCCGTCGGAACCCTGTTCTCCTAGCCTGCCGGGCCTTCCTTACATCATTCCTCTCAGAACAAAATTGTTGCAGTGTTTTTTCAATTCAGTATGGTCTCCACAGAGCAGTGGAGAGAGAGCAGCGATCATCTCATTTGGGATGCGAGCTTCTCCTCCTTCGTTGACTTGCAAACGAGGTTTCCGTGCCCCTTAAACTTCCATGTGTGGCTGTCCACAGCCTCCAGTTGTGGGTGTTAACGTTAGCACGATGCTGGTTCATCAGGACAGGTGACCTTTGTTTTGAGGTTTTTTCAGAACGACGTCTAGTTTGTCAGCATTACCAGCTTCATGGTAGCTGGGACTAGCATGGGACTTTGCCATAGGCTTTTCCAGGAACAGCTAAACACAGCACCCGAGTGAGCTCTATTAAGAGAAGGTGCTGAGCCACTTAGGCAGAGTTGTACCCCTGGCTCCAGCACCTGAGAATAGCTGAGTGATCTTAGTGGTCCACATTAGCTTCCTCTGTGGCTTATACCCCGCCATGAGTGTGAGGACACGGCCCCTTTCGCTTTACCCCCCTCCTCCATGTTAAGAGGTGGCGATACTTAGGCCTGGCTCCAGCAGTGCCAGAGGGACGTTTGGCTCCATTTGCTTTGTTAAAGTGTCGCTGCTTTAGTTGTTTTGGCAGCATTACCAAAGCCTCCAAAATTGGTGGCTTCAGACAGCAACAATCACTTATTATTGCTTATGGTCTTGGGGGCCCAGGATTCCCAAGCAGCAGACTGGGAGGTCTTGGCTTGGGGTTCTTGTGCTGGTTGGTCAGATGGCAGCTGGGGCTGGAGTGTCTCCTTGTGGGCATTCTCACTTGGCGTCTGGTACCTGGGCTGAGAAGGCTTGAGCAGCAGGGGACCCTGGGCCCTCAGTCTTTCCCAGTGCAGTGGCTTTGAGGTGTGTCCTCCGAGAGAGCCAGGTGGTTGTAGGGTTTCCCCACTTCAGTCTTGGAAGTCGCTGAGCATCTGTCCATATTCAGGGGCAGTTGAAGTCTGCCTTTACGGGAACAGTGCCAGAGGATCTGCAGTCGTGTGCTCAGACCAGCACGTTACTGATGGCTGGCTAATGTCCATGGGGTCCCTGGGGATTCATTGGTGAAGCGTCTGCCTTGGGCTCAGGTCATAATCCCAGGGTCCCAGGATCGAGCCCCACATTGGGCTCCCTGCTCAATGGGGAGCCTGCTTCTCTCTCCGCTGCTCCCCCTGCTTGTGCTCTCCTGCTCTCTGTCAAATACATAAATAAAGTCCTTCTTATTTTATTTTTAAAAATATTTTATTTATTTATTCATGAGAGAGAGAGAGGCAGAAACACAGGCAGAGAGAGAAGCAGGCTTCCTGCAGGGAGCCCAGTGCGGGACTCAATCCCAGGACCCCGGGATTACAACTGGAGCCGAAGGCAGATGCTCAACCACTGAGCCATCCAGGCATACCATAAATCTTAAAAAAAAAAATTAACGTCCAAGCAGACCATGTTGTTGCGTGAGTGCTCTTTGAGAGACGGCTCTGAAAGCTGGACTTGGTTCTAATGTGTTAGCAGTGTGTCATGAATCTGCATGGTACTCATGCAGAATGAATTTGGAAGGTACTTGGTCAGGCAGTGTTGGTGGGCTTCTTGTTGTTTTCTGTGAAAACCCACCCTTGGCACCTGATGGTTCTGGGCTGTGAAATGGGCCTGGCTCTGGCCTTTCATTACTGGGGAGGCTTTCTTTCATTACAGGGACACCTGTTGACTGTGTGCTCTGGGGCAGGCTCTGGGCACAACAGACTGAACGGGTACTTAAAGCTGTTCTCTAGTTTCGTGCTCCGGAAACCAGCATGGAGCTGCTTGGGTAGCTTTTCCAGAGCCCAGATTTCGGCCCAGGTACCTGGCCAGTGGCCAGCGGAGGGGTCCAAGAGGAGTGTAGCCAGGCCTCTGCCTGGGACTCAGGAGGCAGAAAGGCTGTGTATAGAGATGACTTGGTCCATACACCAGTCTCCTGTTATTGTGGCACCTGGCTGTCCATGCACGTTCCTTGATTTATTTATTTTATATATATTTGAAGGTTTCATTTATTTATTTATTTGAGAGAAAGGGAGAGAGTATGAACACGAGTGGCAGAGATGCAGAGAGAGAGGGAGAATCCCAGGCAGACTCCCTCCTGAGCACAGAGCCTGACACGGGGCTTGATCCCACAACCCTGAGGTCCTGCTTTGACCAGAAACCGAGAATTGGATGCTCAACCTATAGGGCTGCCCAGGTGTTCCACAAGTTCCTTTATTCTACGAGTGTTTATGTCAGCCAGTCTGCTGTAGGTGGCTCCCAAAGGGGACATGGCCCCTTGGTCCCTCTGCCAGAAGGTTCCCTCTCAGCTCATGTTAGGGGCCTGGGTGATGGCACAGAGGAAGCCTCCGGCTTGGAAGCGGAGACCACATCAGGCAGAGAGGCCGAGGGAGCAGAGATGCCCCGGGGTGATGTAGCCATAGGCCCGCATGGGCAGCACACAGACTCAGCAGGTCCTGGGCAGGGCGGGGGGGCTTTGGGATAAAGCGTCTCCCCGGAAGGCATGGAATATGATGTTGAAGGCCACTCCTGGAGGTTGATCAGCAGTAGCAGAGCGGGAGGTGGAGGTGAGGGAGGCCAGCCCAGGCGGCATGGCAGACCGGGGCCCTGGGTGGGAAGAACTCCAGAGTGATGCCAGCAGATCTGGGTGGGCACACCCTGCTGCATGTGCCCTTGCCATTTTCTGACACCTGACATGGGAGAAGGAGGACCCCGAGAGCACTGCAGGTGTCCAGGGAGGAGGGACATCTGAGTGGAGGCTGAGGGTCCCCAGTTTGTTTGTCAAGTTCTACCATTCTTGTGGGGAGGAGTTGGTAGGGGGCAGGGACTGCATGTGAGGAAAGGCGGATTGTGAACTTTGGGCAACAGACTCCTCCGTGTGGCTCAGCTGGGAGTGCTATTTATAGGGACATGATACCATCTGATGTGGCCATACAGCCATTTTGGGAAGTTTGGAGGTGGCGAGTGGGGAGGCTCTGACCCTCACTGCATGGCCCTGGTGGGGTTGCAGGACACTGCTTTGCAGGCAGGAGCTACAAGAGGTGTCACGAGGGCCTGTGAGCCCCGATACACATCCTCTGTGGTCCCTGTGGTGCTCGTGTGGGGTGGAGCCTCTGTCCCTGGGGCTGGCCAGTTCTCTCACCAGGCACCAGGCTTCTGGCCTCCATGCCCAGAGTCCTGGCTTTGCTCCCCGTTTCCTGGCACCTCCCACTCAGGCTGAGTCTTGCCTTCCTTCTCTGAGTGCCCCCTAAACAGGCCGCCCTGCTTATTGCTTCCTTGTATCTGCCGCCCGCTGGCATTGTGTTTGTGTCTTGCCTTTCCCAGGGGCAGCGCACATTCCCTCTGGGCCAGGATGCTGTCCTGAGCTGCTCCAGGCCTGGCTCTCCTGCTGACTGTGACTGTGTATTATACTTTGTGACCGTGATGGTCCATCTTGATGGTTCGATTTCTTGTAAAGGGAGCTGGCTGGGCATTGTGGATTGAATTGTGTCCCCTAAAAGGACAGATTTAACAGGACCTGTGAATGTGACCTTGTTTAGAAGTAGGTCTCCGCAGATGTAATTAAGATGTAAATTAAGGGATCCCTGGGTGGTGCAGCGGTTTGGCCCCTGCCTTTGGCCCAGGGCGTGATCCTGGAGACCGGGGATCGAATCCCACGTCGGGCTCCTGGTGCATGGAGCCTGCTTATCCTTCTGCCTGTGTCTCTGCCTCTCTCTCTCTCTGTGTGACTATCATAAATTAAAAAAAAAAAAAAAAGATGTAAATTAAGATGAGGCCATACCGTATTCGGGGGGACCCCCGTCCAATTACCAAGAAGACATACAGAGATTCAGGACGTGCAGGTAGACGGCCATGGGAACACGTGGCTCAGCTGCAAGCTGGGGGGCACAGTGATCACTAGCCGCCACCACGTGCCTGGATAGAGGCAGGGAACCACTGTCCTGAGGCACCCCCAGAGGAGCCGACCCTGCCCACACCTCAACTTCTGACCTCTGGCCTCCGGGTCACGGTGCTTAGAGATGGCAGCACCAGGAAGCTACTGCACTTAGATTTGAATGCATAGCCAGTGATCCCTGAACTTTGGCTTTGCCTTCGTGGTTTCAATCACTCATGGTCAATGTGGTCCAGAAGCTGATGATCCTGCTCCTGACGTGTAGTCAGAAGGTCAGCTGTAGCCTGGTGCTAGGTCACAGCCCCACATCACTCCCCTCCTGCGTCTCACATGGGTGACTTTCTTATCTCTTATTTATTTATTTTTATTTTTAGAGAGTGGGGGAGGGGGAGAGAGAAGCAGACTCCCGCTGAGCAGGGGCTCTAACATGGGGCTGGATCCCATGAACCTGAGATCACAACCTGAGCTGAAACCAAGTGTAGGCTGCTCAACTGACTGAGCCACCTCAGTGCCCCCATGGTAAAATGTGGGCACTTCATCATCTCACATCATAAGAAGGGTGAGGGCAAGACATTTTGAGAGAGAGACCACATTCACTTTTATCACAGTATCCTGTTACACTCGTTCTAGCTTATTGTTATTCTTATTAATCTCTTGCTGTGCCTCACTTGCAAATTAAACTTTATCACATGTTTGTATGCATGAGAGAAAGCATAGTACAGTTGGTCCCTGAACAGCTAGGGGTCATGGGTGCTGGCCCTACCAGAGTAAAAAAAATCCATGTGGAACTTAGGATTCCCCAGAACTTACCTGCTAATGGCCTCCTGTTGGCCAGAAGCCTTACTGATGTCCTAAACAGTTCATTAATAGCCGTTTTGTGTGCTGTATGTATTATTTGCTGTTTTCTTATGATCAAAGAAGGGAGGGAAAAGAAAATGTATTATTCATATCATAAGGAAGAGAAAAGACATTTCTGGTGCTGTCCTGTACTTATGGAAAGAGAGCCCCATGTGAGTGGGCTTGCGTAGTTCAAACAATGTTGTGCAGGGGTTGATAGCATATTTAGGGTTCAGCACTGTCTGTGATTTCAGGTGTTTTGGGGGCTTGGTGTCCCTGCAGTGTGGGGCACTGCTGCATTAACACCTGATGACATGCGTATCTCCTTGAAGGAGATAAAATTGTTGCATGGCTGGGTCTGGGTTCTCTCCTGCCAGGCACTTCTTACCCACCTCGGCTTCTGAAGGGGCTGCACTAGCCGCCCTGTGCAGTCCTTCCACACACTGGTTTTTCTGCTGCTTTTGTGCAGCAGGTGCACACTGCACCGTGCCATGGCCCTCCATTCACCGGGGTCATGCTGGCCAGCCCTCAAAGACATAGCATGCCATGTTTTCTTTGTTCTTCTGACCTTCTATGAGTTGTGATGGAGTGAGTATGCCATGTTTGATGTAGCTGTGCCTGAGTAGGCTGCGGCCCATGCTCCTGCCTGACAGAAGCATGGCCCAAGCAGGAAAGTCTGGGGATCTTGTGCTGTGTGGCATTGCTGTCTGGCCCTTGGGGCTGCTGTCAGCTCTTGGGGCTGCTTTCAGGCCCACAGGGCTGCTATCTGGCCCATGGGGCTGCTGTCCGGCCCTTGGGGGTGCTGTCCTGCCCTTGGGGGTGTTGTCCGGCCCATGGGGCTACTGTCTGGCCCACAGGGCTGCTGTCCGGCCCTCGGAGGTGCTGTCTGGCCTGCGGGGCTGCTCTTTGTCCCTCAAGGCCGCTGTCCGGCCCTTGGGAGTGCTGTCCTGCCCGCGGGGCTGCTGTCCTGCCCTCAGGGGTACTGTACTGGTAGGGCTGCTGTCCAGCCCATGGTGGGGCTGCGCAGCCCTCAGGACTGCTATCTGGCCCTAGGGGCTGCTGTGTGGCCTGTGGGGCTTCTGTCTGCTGTCTAGCCTATGGCGCTTCTTTGGATCACGGTATGCGTGCTCTGGAGCCTGTTCTCTGACCAGCTCAGCAGTTGGGTGAAGTTGTCCCATCTCCTCTGTCCCCTCCCGGCTGGTGCACACCCAATCTCAGGTGGCGTCAGGGAGGACACTTGCCTGAAACCTCACAGGGTGTTTGTCACATGCTGACTTAAGGAAGGAATCTTGTCATTCGTCAGCACTCCTTGGTCTGCACTCTGCCGGGGAGGAGGAACTTCCCCTCCTACTTACCGATCTTTTACAGCTGTTTCCATCAATACAGACTCACGGGTTTGTATTTTATTCTGTGAAGTGGAACATATGCCTCTTGGGAGCTTGGCCCCATTCTCTGCACACGTCCTGGCCTTCTGGTGCCTTTGAGACACTCCCACTGCATCTCGCCCGAGCCCTGGTCCTGGAAATCAACGATGTCCCCAGGGAATGTGTGGCCTGTTTCTCAAGCGAAATGCTAGTCATAGCGTAGGTTGTTCAGGTTTTGTTGTGGCTGCTGTAATCTTTCTAGTGTGGTGCGTGCTATGTGCCACTAGGAGGACTGACAGGGTGGTGGACACAGGAGGCCCATGGCAGGGCCTTTGCAGTTGGGCAAAGGAGGGTGCAGTTGCGGCAAAAGTGGTCAGGTGGAGGGGTCCTTGTAAAGCCTCTGTACTTGGAGAAACGTTGTCAGTTGGGGCTTAGGGTGAATTTATGGGGAGAGGTAGTGAGATCCCGGCCGGTTGCAGGTGGTAGGTCCTGCCTAGGTGACTGGGAGTGAGTGGTATAGGCATGGAGGTGTGGCTGGCTCTATTTGGTTCCCTGGTTCTATACACATTTATGTAGAGCCACTCCCAGGGCAGAGAGATACTTCCCTGGAGAACTAACTGGCCCTGGCCTGGGCTTTGTGGTCCCTGGCTGTGCTGGAGCAGGTGGCTGTCCCTGCCTAGGATGGTGGGAGCCCAGGAGAGTGTTGACAGTGAGTGCCTCGCCTGGCCTGGAGGAAGCCTGAGTGTGCATGATACCTTTGGTTGGGATGAGCTCACGAATTCCAGGGCCCTGGGTGAGCCCGTTGCATGCTCTGCCAAAGGGAGAGCCCCATGCCGTTTCTCGGCTGCCTCAACATGTGCCCAGGTGCCCAATGATGGTGGGCTGTCCTCCCCATGCTTGCTGGATGCCTCTTTGGCCCCACTTTGTGAGGCTGGCTTTAGGTGTGGTGTCAAGGCAGTGTCTGTTAATGCCTGTTGAGTGTGCGCATGTTCAGGGGTGCCCACGGGTGTGAGTCTCTCTGGCCTCTGGCAGCATCTGTGCAAAGGTCCCTTGGTTTTCTCCTTGGTCTGCGGGTGAGCTCTGCTGGCACTTTCCATGAAACCGTGTGCTTCTTGTACTCCCTGCCAGGATGGGTGCTTCTAATATTGTGTGTGTGCTGTTGCTTCCACACGCTGGGCTCTCGGGCAGATGTCCTAAGTGACGCTTAGGACCCCCAGAGGGTCACCTAGTGGGTGTGACATGGGGCCTGGTTGTCTACCCTGTGGCCCTCTGCCTTGTGCATGGTCTGCTGGACCTGAGGAGGCCTCTGGGAAGGGGGGAGGGCTCAGGGTCTGGTGGTGGTTAGGACATTCTGGAGGTTTTGTCGCTGCTCTCATTTTTTAATTTCTGAGAGCTCTTTTCTCTTTCTTTAAATACTTCTTTTTAAGGGTATTCTGATCTTATTTTGTGGGCTGGGCACCTTCTTCTGAGGGCAGGATTGTTTCCTGTGGGTGGCTGAGGCCCTCCTGTCTGACTGGCACTGTCCATGGCTTCCCAGGCAGGCGGCCTTGCTCCTGCTTAGCAGTGGGCCGCTAGGAAGAGTGGGAGCCGTGAATGACGGGTGGGAGGCAGGCTGCACAGCGGCTCAGGGCCCTGTCCCTGCTGGTGTCTGTGGGCAACCAGGTCCTGGGTGCAGCCTGCAATGTCCCCACTGGGCTTCCCCTGCCACCCCTGACCTGAGAGCCTGGGGCCAGGCTCTGGGCCTCCTGTACCCTCCCCTGGGGGCCAGCTGGCTGGACTGAGGTAGGGGTGTGTAGCTGCTGAGGGCAGGGGACAGTGGTGAGTGAGAGTCCAGTGATTCACAGCCAGCTGTTTCTTGTATGTAGAATTTGGCTTCTTGTCGCTGTCTTCCATCTGCTTTGCACTTCGAGGGGTGGGTGGTGAGGTGGCCTCACTGCTACTTTGGTTAGGGCTTCGGGACTACTAGATCTCAGGTAGGCACTTAACCTGCCATCCTTCAACCAGAATGCCACTTTTAGTACCATTTCCAGGAGAGAGCTCACACAGTGGTCTTTAAAGCAGGGAGGTTTTCATCAGGCAGAGGTGACGGAAATATTCTGCACACAGTACTCAGCATATAACAGATACCCGCCCAGTGGTTCTGCATGTAGTCACTTCTTTCTCTTTACCAAAAACACAGACACAGAGTTCTGAAGAGTCCTTGGAAATGGATTGTTCACCTGTAAAGTGGAAATCAACCTTGAGGGTCAGCTCTGACCCAGCAGTGGCCCAGGCCTTCTGAAGCCTGCTGTGCTGAACCCCACTGTCTATTGGTACAGACGGAGGACACAGGGCCCTGACCATGGTCACACTCATCACTGAGAAGCTGCAGAACCAAAGCCTGGATGACCTTGTCTGCAAGAGCTACGATGCTGGCCAGGTAAGCTGGCTGCAGCGGCAATGGGCAGGACCCTGGCCTCCTCCAAGGGTCAGGGGAGATGGCCCAAGCTGGATGGAGGATGTGTGGCCGAGGCCTGGGGGGATCTGGCAGCAGGAGGGCGGAGGGGGCTGTGTCCCAGGGCCGTGCTGTGCACACGCAGCCTCCACATCTCCTTAGCATTCTGATGGGTTTCCAGCATTGTTGAAACAACCCAACTTTTAGTGAGCATCTAGCCTACTCCTAGAAGTATGCAAATCCTAAGTGCATAGCATGCACATTTTCATACCTGTTAAATGTCTTTCTGGGCAAGCAGCACTCAAACCCACCCTGATGCCCCTCATGTAGGCGCCACCCCTCCTGAGAGAGCCTCTGCCTTGAGTTGTCACCACAGGTTAGTCACCTGGGTTTGAACTTTGTGTAGGTGGAACCGTTTTTCTAGGGTCATGTTAATGTGAATCTCAGGACACCAGCCCTGTGCTGGTTCAGTCGTAGGTCCGGACAGAGGAGGCTGAGCGTATAGCCCTTGCGTGATGGTTGGAGGTCTCCTGAGTGGTCCACTGACATAAGGTACCCAAAATGGTCTGCCTGTAGCCCCTTGGCGTGCCAAGGCAAGCAAGGTGGTGGGGAGCTGTGGATCCCAAGCCTCTGTTCTGGGCTTGTGGCCTGTAGTCACAGCAGGTGGTTTTGAGGCTCTGAGGCTCAGCATTAGACACAGGAGCACCAGGGACAGGAGCTGGGCCTGTGTCTACAGCCCAGGGTGGGGGGAGCTCAGGGGCCTTTGCAGAGCGCTGCTTGCTGGCCTTGGGCTCGGAGCCCTGATGGGATCCTAGCAGCACACCATGCACCTGCTCCTGTCTTCACTTGTGCTTGTATGCAGCAACTGTTTTGTGGAGACTCTAACCAAGACCGAGAATGTGGTGCAGCACACGTGTCATCTGATGGCCATGCTCCTTTAGGATGTTTGGCAAAGTGTAGGCAGCCAGGTGCTATGTGGCTTTCCTGGGGAGATGGGCTAAGGATTGTGCCTGCAGGGCCCCCCCTGGTGGTGCAGACATGGCTCCACGTGCTCTGCTTCCTTGAGGCTGGTCCTAACACAACAGAGAAGGGCCCTTGTGAGACCCTGCTTGGGAGGTGCAGCTACACGGTCAGCCTGCTCCCCCTCCCGCCTTTGCTGCCCAGGGACACTTCAAGCTCCGTTCTGTTGCCGTTGGTGGTGGTCTGTTTGTTTTGGCTAGACACGTGCTTTTTAAAAGATGGCCTGTTAACGTGGTAGGTTTCTCTTTCTGAAATGGGAGAGCTGACCTTTCCTCTTCCCAAATCTACGTCTTCTGACTTTTAAGAGCCATTTTACTTTTGGAAGCAGAGTTCTGGTGCATGGCAGAGTGACCTATAGCCCAGGGCAGGCCACCACCAGGGTTGGGATGGTGGTGAAGTCCAGTTGGTCTTTTTTCTTTTGTTCTCCATGCTTTTGGTCTCATATCTAAGAGTCCTTGGCTGAACAAGGTCATGAAGGTTTACTTTCATGTTCTTTGAGAATTTTATATTAGCTCTCACATTTAGGTCTTTGATCCCTATTGAGCTACTTTTGTGTGTGGTGTGAGGTAGGGGTCTAGCTTCGTTCTTTTTTATGTGGATTCCAGTTGTCTCAGTGCCATCTGATGAGAAGACTCTTTTTTTCCCCTTGAATGGTCTTTGGCACCCTTGTCAAAAATTTACATTTTCAAAAACAAAGTCTTTGAAACCTGGTGTATATTTTACACTTAACAGCAGATCTCCATTTGGATACCAGTCTTCCTTCCTTCCAGATTTTATTTATTTATGAGAGAGAGAGAGAGAGAGAGAGAGAGAGAGAGAGAGAGAGAGAGAGAATATGCAAGTAGAGGGGCAGAGGGAGAGACAGATGCCCCGCTGAGCAGCGAATTCTTGGGATGATGACCGGTGCCAAAGGCAGAGGCTCAAGCTACGAAGCCACCCAGGTGCTCCTGGACACCAGTTTTTCATTATAGAAATATTTGATCTGTATTTAGATTTCATGAAATTTATACTTGAAAAAGTAGATTTCACATTCTGCCATTGTTCTATAAGCACACTGAAAAGTTTTCAAAAAATTGGATTATTAGTTTTAAAGCTAAAATTTAAGATAGTTAAATGTAAATAAAGTTGGAAATCACTAAACATTTTCTGCCTTTGTCTCTCTAGCCATGTGCCACCCCGGTCACTCACATGTCCTTCCCTGGGCACTGCCACATGCCAGGTGTCAAGTGAGGAGGTTGTTGGGTCAGGAGGAAGTGCTGGGATTGGGAGGCCCAGGGGGGCTTTTCATCCAGTTCTGAGGTCTGTGCCCTGTTAGTGTCCACTGTGTGGCCATGCTGTACTCAGCGCCTTCTTGTGGATGTTCTGGGCCACCCCATGTCCTCTCTGTCCTCACCCATTCAGTGTGGCTGACTCTTTATTCTCTGTTCCTTTCTCTGGCCTCAAGTGAATTCCCGCTTCCCATCAAGGCCCCTGGTATCTTACAAAGTCTTCTGATTACCAGGGTGAGGTCAGCTCTTCCCATTTTGCCTCTGTGATGCTTGGGGAACATAGGCTAGTCTAGCTGACCACAAAGGCCTGGAAGCACATGGGTTTGTGTCTCCTACCCAAACAGGACAGTGAGTGCCTTGAGAACCAGGGCAGAGCTTCTGGTGTTTTCCATAGCTAGTGCACTGGGTCATGTCAGCAAATGCTGGTTGTCAGCGAGTGTGGATGGGGGACCTGGGGCAGCTCTGTTCAGGAGCATACTCCGCTCTGATAGGAAGGCTCCTTTGTCGCTGTCCAAGCATATAGCTACTTAAAGCATGTGGTTACTGAGTTCTGAGATTGGTTGGGGTGACGGGAGCTGAATTTGTATTTTATATAGTTGAAGTTTAAATTTCAGCAGCAGCCTGTGGCTCTGGCTGTCCCATGGGGCAGCGCAGATGGAGAGCATCATGGGTGTTCAGTGGCCGTAAGCTGTGCCCTCATGTAGCCCCTCTGTAGCCACACCTGGTTTCCTCCAAACAAGCTCTTTCATGTCTATGATTTGTCATTTCCAAAATGATCTGTGCGGAGTTTGTGACAGTTTTTTCACTCAGCACGATGTCCTAGAGATGCATCCAGGTGGTTTTGTGGTTCAGTGGTTCACTCCTTTTGATTGCTGAGGAACACACGTGTAAGGGTGTACCAGTTACCCATTGAAGGATTGTTGCAATTCCGATAAAAATCCCACTACAATATTTGTGGAACTTGGCAGGCTGACCCTAGAGTTCTCAAATGAGCTGTAGTTTCCCTGATTCATTCGTTTATGACTTGAGGCCATGGTGCCACCATGCATGAGTGGACATGCATGCTGTCCCTGAAGGGCTTGTGCTCTCGTGGGAGGATAGACACAGTGGCCCTGGGACCATGGCTAGGGTCTGGTGGAGCTGCAGGGGAGGCAGAGAAGTTGGGAGGTGTGGTGCAGACTGTGCACTGCAGAGGCAGGAGGGGTCTGTCTGTTGGTGGACAGGTGGACGCTTGGGGCCTTGGGAAGAGGACGAGCAGCCATCAGGTGGGCAGCCCCAGATGTCAGGTGGTAGTGTGCTGTCTCAGTAAGCAGGGAGCCAAGGGGCCCCCTAGTCTGTCGCTGGTGGACAGTAGAATAAGAAGGCGGTGTGAGGGTGTTGAGAGTTGTCCTAGGGCGGCTGGGGCCGGACCCGACCCTCAGTGGGTAGAGAGCCGCGTGCACCTGGGGGTGGGAGTGGGTGTGGGGGGCTGAGGGGTGGATTGTGGGATGGAAGTGTGGTGGTGGGGGGTGGATGGTCAGGAGGTTCAGCACCATCTGCTGTGTGTCCAGCTGTACAGGTGCAAGCTTGGGTGGTGGGGAGTTTGGCTTTTAAAAACCTTTGTCAAAATGTGCTCTTTTAGTGAGGTATTGTTTCATACAGTGAATGTGCAGCTTGGGTGATGTTCAGCTGGGTGAGTTCTGCAGGTGGTGTGCACTGCTAGCCTTGTCACCATCACCTGGACAGGTTCTGACCCTTTGGTTGCCCCACATGGTGCACCGTGTCCCAGAACATCACAGAGGCGTGGCTGCGCGGCCTGGGCTCTGGCTTCTTTCCCTGACGAGAACTCTTCAGAGACTCACGATGTAAGTGGTGTGGCTTACTCTGCCATGCAATCTGTGTCCCTGCTGAGGGACATTTGGGCCATTCCCAGGTTTTGGTGGGGGCTGCCCGCAGGCATCTGCCTGCAGCACCCAGGCCTGCAGCTTGGCCTGGCCACTGGTCACACCAGGTGCCATGTCTTCTGGGCTCTGACCTCATTCCCTGGATAACTAGGGAGATCTACACCTTATGTTCTGCTCACTGGCCAGTTGGGAGTGACTTCAGATCTCTGCCATTGGGTCATGTGCCTTTTTCCTTACTGATCTGTAGGAAGTCATTGCTAGGTCCTGTCACGAGTCTCTTCTTGGATACATGTTTTTTTTTTTTTTAAGATTTTATTTATTTATTCATGAGAGACACAGAGAGAGAGAGGCAGAGACACAGGCAGAAGGAGAAGCAGGCTCCATGCAGGGAGCCCGACGTGGGACCCGATCCTGGGTCTCCAGGATCACGCCCTGGGCTGAAGGCAGGCGCTAAACCGCTGAGCCACCGGGGCTGCCCTTGGATACATGTTTTGCAAATATTTTCTGCTGTCCTGTGGTTTGCCTCATTGTGGGTGACTTTCAATGAACAGAAATTCTCATTTCAATGTGGATGGAAGCATCCATGTAAGTTGGTGTGTTTTGTATCTCACTTAAGAAACCTTTGCTACCTTGAGTCTTGAAGATGCTCTTCTGTGTCTTTTTCTAGAAGCATCTGTGTTACTTTAGCTCGAAGACTATACTCTGGAGTGGAGTCTTGTGTGTGGGATGAGACTAGGCCAACAATGGGTTTTCTTTTTTCTTGCACGGATGTGTGGTGAACCCATTGCCCTTTCTGGAAATGGCTGTGCTTGCTGCACCATTCGTCAATGGGTTCCGTCACTGTCACAGAGCTTTGGAGCCATCCCACGTGTGCGTCCCACTCTCACTCCAGCCCCAGGTGGGGAGACCAAGGCTTACACAGAGGAACCAGGCTGCCCCCATCAGGGCTGCTCAGGGCAGTGGATTGCAGGCCGCAGGCTGCACTGGCTGTGCCTGAGCTCCATGCTGGATGGTGTCAGGGTGCATGTGGTGTGACCAGGCCTGCCTGGGGGCCGGCCTGTGGTCTCCACACCCCCTGGTGGCCTCATCTGGTCAGGACTCCTCAGAGTGAGGCAGACTATACAGCCCGTCCCGGGCATGGAGGCCCTCGACTCCACAGCTGTCCTCCCATAGAGAGGCCCGGGCCAGCCCTGCTCTGTGCCCCAGCACGGGTGCTGTCCATAAAACCCATGTCCTCTGGCTGTTCCCCACACCCACTTGTGCACCTTTGCCCTGAGCTGGAACCTGGGCCTCCTATGTGGGAGCCATTGGAGCCTTTCCCTGATGCATAGTGGCTCTGTTCAGGTGTCCTGCTGTGTGTGGGGATCACAGCTCTGGGAGGGTGCTTGTGCCTGCTGCTTACCTGGGGGACAGTGGCTGGCCAACCTGGTCTGGGGGTGGGCAGTGGGGTGGGGTGCTGGGAGGTCTGTGAGGGGCTGTGGGGGGACATGGGAGGTGATGTGGGGGTGTTGTGGGTGCTGGGAAGGCTGTGAGAAACACCATGGGGATACTATGGGCACTGGGAGGGATATGGGGGTGCTGTGGGGCTGCAAGGGGCACTGGGAGGGATGTGGGGAGTGCTGGGGGCACTGGGAGGGCTGTGGTGGCGTTGGAGGTGCTGGGAGCACTGGGATGGCCATGGGGGGCATTGTGGGGGCATTGGGGGTGCCAGGAGGGCTGTGAGGGTCTTTGGGGGTGCTGGGGGTGCTGGAAGGGCTGTGGTGGGGGCTGGGCCATAGTTCTTCAGGGGGATTTATAGCAACAAAGAGGGAGGTAGGATTCCCTGATGGTGTAGATGACCAGCTTGTGTATCAACAATTTCCTGGGAGTTTTGGAGCTGCTTCTTCATTTTGTCACCTGACCGGGTCCTGGGCCTGGGGAACTGCTGGTCACCTGGTCCTCCTGAGCGTGGCCAGGTCTCTCTAGCTCTGTGCAGCTGCTGGGTGATGCAGCCCCAGGGCAGCCATCTGCTGGCTCCAGCCCTCCTAGGCCCCGCTACCCTGGGGAGCCTGACCTTGGGGCTGGCGCATGTGGGGGAGGGCCTGGTGGCGTAGCTGAGTGGTGAGGCTTGTGAGAAGGCCTGGCTGCGGCGAGGGCTGCTTGGGCTGTGGGAGCACAGATGCACATGCACAACACTTGGGTTCCCTTCACTCACTGGAGTATTGTTAGGCTTTTAAGAATCTTGATTAAGAAAAAAAACATATTCTGAGGTCAGTGCTTTTCCTTTTAATCTACAAAAAAGGCAGTGTTGGGGAAGAGCAGAATTGGTTGCAGGGATGAGAATGCAGCGTTATCCTTACCTCTGTGCTGTTTGTGAGCTCAGCATCTGTGTCCACTGTGTTCATGCTGGTTTTTCTTAACATTTTCAGCATTCTGGCAGGACACTGAGCAGCAGTGGCCATGTGTTCCCTTTTGAGAGCAATGGTAAGTGTTGAAAAGTCCCTGCTGGTCTTCCTGGGCTTCTGTGGCCATGGGCCAGGGATGGAACGGAAGGTGCGGGAAGTGGAACTGGCACATGATGCTGACTTCTGCAGGAAAGTCCACCCGCACAGTGAAGGTTGCCCACAGCAGTCTTCCCCATGCTGGGCTGTGGGTCAGGGCATGGCTGGGCCTCTGCCTTAGGACACGGCAGGTGCCGGGCCGCCGGGCCCCTTTGGAAAGGAACCTGGCAGTGTGGAGGTGGAGGCTCGCCCTGGGGGGCCTGTGGGCATTGAAGGCAGAACAGGATGGGGTTGGGCGCAGCACGCGGTGGGTGTGTAGCTCCGGTGTGGCACACTCTGGGCCATTGGTGTGGTTGGGGCTCAGGCCCTGGAGCACAGAGGACACCTCTTGCCAGTGCATGTGTCCTACACATGTGCCTATGACTGGAAAGGCCACCCCACACGAGTGTGTAACTGAACCTGGGTGTGCAGAGCTTGCTGCCCTACATTCTTGGTGACCTTGGCTCCATGTCACGGGTTGTGGTGAACATGTTAGTTGTGGTCTTTAGGGACAGACAGGCCTGACTTGAGTGCCAGTCCTCCCCCGCCGGTCCTGGTCACTGTGGCTGTAGGATGGCACTCACTGTGTTAGATGGCTCTCCAGACTACCAAAGTGAAGGTTTTTAATAAATTCTTTTGTGAACTTGTAGAGGTAGAAACTGTGAGCCCAGCACCGGTCCTTGGTACTGTGTCCTCAGTGGTGGTCCATCTGTACACAGGGCCAGTCCTCAGCAGGATCATCCTTTGCTTGTGCCTTTTACCACAGGGGTCCTGGCCCCATCCCTTGGGTCCCACTGCCTCCATACCCACTGGAGGCTGGGGGATGCTGAAAAGACTTATGGCCAGGCTGGTGGGAGTCAAGACTTTGCCGTCCACCCTGCCTCCACATGAGGAGTCAGAGGAGACCCATTCATACTGCTCTGCCCTCGATGGCAGTTGGGATACAGCAGAGCTTGTGATGGCAGCCCTGATGGGCACGTGTCTGGGCACCCAAGGGCTTTGTGAAGGGTCTGAGGAAGGGCTCGGGTAGGCTACTCTGTGGTGTTGGAGGCAGGTGGGCAGAGGGAGCCCCTTGTGCTGTGCTTGTACAGTGTGTTCTCACATGTGGATGCCAAGTGCTGACCCCTGGACACTCAGTGTCTCCTGTGACCCTCCCGGTGGCTGTGTGGAGTGGGGGAGTGGAAGCTGGAAAGGGGTCCCTGTTTGATGTGTGCTGGGGTCCGTGCCTCACGTTTCAGGAGGACAGGAGGTGAGGGACACCATAGCTGCTGCTCTGCCCAAGTGCTTACTGTGGCACTGGCTTCCTGGAAGAAGCGGCTTGGTGGGGGGCTTGCATACCTATAAGATTACTTGGCCGCAGATAGAGAAGTAGGGGATGTGGGGCCAGTCTTTTCATGAAACTGAATGGGGAACAGCATGCTCTGGTCATTTTCAGGGAATGGCTAGCTGCCTGACCAGGGAATGCCGGTGGGGCCTGTGCTGACCACATCCCCCAGCTCTTGCAAGGCATGAGGCTTTGCGTCAGGCAGTGTCCCCAGCTGGGCAAGTGTCTCAGGGCACAGCAAAGACCGTGCCTTGTCTCCTGTTCACTTGTCTCTTCTCTTTTGTGTCTCCTCAGAAGACAGGTGCCCCTGGAAGGTCTTAAGTGGCGGATGGCCCATTGGAAATCAGATGGCCACAGGGATGTGGGGCCCCAACACAGTCCTGGGTGCGGTGAGCACCATAGACCTGAGGGAAAACTCAGGGCCCCCCTCGGCACCACCTACCAAGCGACACTGCCGCTCCCTGTCGGAGCTGGCGCACTGCCACTCCCTGTGGCGCCCCAGCTGCTCCAGGGTCTGGACACCGGTGTCCAAGAGGTGGTGCCACAGCGGTGGGCGTGCCACGCTGCAGGAAAGCCTGGGTGCCAGCCTGCCCAGGGGTGCTGCACCGCTCGACCACACCCTCCTGGTGGCTGGGCCCACCTCGTCCCCAGCACCCCAGCCACCTTCGGCCAGCGGCGGCTGCGTGGACAGCTGTGAGGGCAGCTCGAGCCTGCCTTGGCGACCCCGCGTCCCATCCTGGAGGCACCGCCTGTCGCTGTCCCAGGAGCACCTGGCAGAAGTGGGAACGGCACTGCCCTCTACCAGCAGCAGCCCCTCGTCTACCCCCGAGCTGGGCCGGCGACTGGGCCTGCTCCGGTGCTGCTCACAGCCGTGCGTGCTCGTCGGGAGGAAGTGGCAACGCAAGCGCAGGCGTGAGGAGGGCACTCACTGGCCGCGCCCATCCTTGGACTTTCTCAAAATGACACGGGTGAGGCTTGTCTTGTGTCCGGTGTCCTCGGCTTGCTGGCACTGCGCACATCCCGGGGCGGTTCTGTGGTGAGACTGGCCTGCAGTGGTCTCGGTGCCTCTGCACCCTGCAGGGGATGGGCTGCGCTCTGGGCCTGGGTGGGCTTGAGGTTGCAGCGTCCCCAGCGCCAGCTCCCATGGCCCGTAACCTGCCTGCCTTGGTGAGGTGTGAGCTGTCCTCAGCCCTGCTTGTGCGTGTGGGTGTGTGTGGGTGCGTGTGGGTGCATGTGGGTGTGCATGTGCAGGTGGACATGTCAGGATCCCAGCCCCCAGGTTCCCATGGTCCTCATGTCCCCTGTGCTCCCTGGGGTGTGGGACGGCTATGACCACCTGTCTGTATGGAAGGCTGTGGAGCAAAGTCGGTGAGCCAGGGTACAGGACAGGGCAAATCTGAATGGGCTTCAGTGGTCAGGTGGGCTGGCCCACTAGAAGCAGACGGACAGGGTGCAGAGTCAGCAGGGTGCTGATATTGGCAGCCCAAAAGAAACAAAGCCCAGTAGATGAGAAGCCTGCATGTCTGTCTGTCTTTTTTTTTTTTAAAGAGTGTGAGTGGTATGGGGTGGGCTGGGGAGGGCCAGAGGCAGGGGACAGAGGGAGTCCCAAGCCAACTCCCTGCTGAGCCAGAGTCCCATGTGGGGCTCCATCTCATGACCCTGAGATCATGACTTGAGCCGAAAGCAACATCGGATGCTCAACTAGCTGAGCCACCTGGGCGGCGCCCCCCCTTCCTGCTTGTCTTTCTAGAACATTTTCCCTCATTGTTGGTATGTTGCTGTGACCCCCTCCCTGGCCCCCGGATCCTTGAGCTCCCCCTGCCCTGCCCCAGGCTTCTGACTGCCTGACTCCTTGGCCTCAGTGGCCTGTTGCCTTGGTTAGCCTGGCACTCGCCAGGATTGCTGCATAACAAACGGCCCACATTTACCAGCTGTAAGTGATGCCCATTTGTTACGACATGGCTTCCACAGGTTAGGTGTCCGGGAGCAGCTCAGCTGGTTGGCTCTGCTCAGGGTGCCCTGCATGCTCGTGCTCTGCAGGGCTGTGTCACCTGCAGGCTCAACAGGCCGGACGAGCCAGTTACTTCCAAGCTATCACATGTGAGATTTGCTGGGGGCTTACCGGGAAGCCATCTGGGCCTGGGGTGTGTGTGGGGATGAACAAACCTGCATGCTCAGTGTCTCTGGGGGAATCTGCTAAGGTTTTCCAAAGTTACACATTTCTGTGGGAAGTGCCTTTGCATTTAAGGTGTTAGTTTGGGGCACAAAGTTGCTTACTGTATCTCTTAGAACTTTTAAAGTCTCTGAGCTGGTGTGTCCCTCACTGTCTCTTATTACTGATGTTGTGAATGATGAACTGTATGCAGATAGAGGCATGGTGAGCAGTCATGATAGCTGGCTGACACTTCTGATCGTGACCTGGGGGATGGAGGCCAGCTTCCAGCCCCGTCCTTCACCAGCTCCTGGCTGCCTCTGGAGACAGAAGGCATCTCATGTGCAGCTATGGTCAGTGGTCACCATAGGGCTTGTTTCTACTCACACCCCTCCTTGTGCACTGTGTATGGCTCTTGCACCCCAAGATCCCGGGCTCTCTACAGACACTGGCAGGTGTCTGACAGTTTGGCACCATTCTGACATGAGCTGCAGAGAATGCAGACCTGTGGGCTAAGAGTTCAGCCTCATAAGACCACCCCTGTTTCAGATGCCTCAGTACCCCACTGGCCAGCAACAAACTGGGGTTCTCACGACCCCCTCCTCAGTTTCTGTACGTGGCTAGAACAGCTTACAGAGTTCTAGAAAGCACCTTACTAATTGCCCATTTATCATGAAGGACACAACTCAGGATCATCCAGAGGGAAGAGACGCACAGGGCAAAGTATGGGCCAGGGGGTGCAGAGCCCCCACACCTCTCTGGGAGCACCTGTGCCCAGTGTCCAGCACCCAGATGTGCTCACCCACCTCCAGATCCCCCAACCCTCTGTGCAGGGATTTTTTTTATTCTTTTTTCTTTTTATTGGAGTTCAACTTGCCAACATATAGCATGTTGACTAGTGCCCATCCCACCAAGTGTGCAGAGATTTTTATGGAAGTTCTAGTGCATGGGTGCAACTGATGAGATCACTGGCCATGGAGATGGACCGAGTCTCCTTCCGTTCTCCATCCTCTGGGCGGGGGACTCACTAAGCCTGGTGTGATCCTTCTGTCCACTGCCCTACCCCAATACTGGCTGGGGACCTACAAGGGGTCATATTCACCTAAACTTTATGAACCACAGAAGATGGTCCTCACCCCATCACTCAGGAAGTTCCAAGGTTTGTAGGGATCAGAACCAGGAATGAACAAAGGCCAGCTATGCACCTCTTACTGTATCACCACAGATCTAGGAAACTTGGTTGTCTTAAACGTACAAGGAGGTAGAAGTGGTAGTCTAGCTGTTAATGGTTAAGTGGCCAGGTTTGGTGACTCTTCATGTTTTGGGCGAGACCCATGAGGTTTCTCTGTGGTGCCACGTGTTCAACTCAATGTCACCTACCAGTAGAATGGGCACTCATGGGTACTTGTGGTTAGCGTGCAAATGGAAGGGAGCAGAAGACTTAAAAATACTTTGGAAGCATGGATGTGACTGTTGAATCCTAGAGGACCAGCCATGTGTAGGCGGCTGTTGTGTGAGTGGGAGGTGGGTGCAGGCCATTGGCTCTGCAGGCAGCAAGGGGTGCAGAGGCCCTGAGCATTGCCAGGTGCCATGTGTGTGCCTAGACGTCCTGTGCACCCTGCCCAGGGGCGTGGTGTCCCCCTGGGAAATGGAGACCCCAACTGTTTCCTCTCAAGGTGATTTCACTTCTGCATGAGACTTCTCAGAGCAGGCACGGGCAAAGCCCTGGGACCTGCCTTCAGGTGTGCCAGGTGTCCATGTGACAGTGTGGCAGTGAGCAATGCCAGGAGATTCTCCGTGGCTCCTGCTTTCTGTGCAAGAACAGTTGGGACTGCATTCATCCTGCGTGTGCACACTCCAGCCTGGTGGTCCTGACATCAGCATACTGGTTTTGTGTCTTAACTTGAAGTGGTGCGGTGGGGACCACAGGATCCTTGACCTCGGGCCTGGATGTGGTGTGCTGGGTGCTGAGCAGTCCACTGCCCTGCCCCCTACAGTGGGCATGTGATGCAGAGTGCCTAGTAGCCCCTGAATCTTGGCTCGAGGGCTGCTCTGTCTTGAGCCAAGCAAGGCCTGAGGGGTGGCTTTGGTCATCAAGGAGGGGACACTGCTGCCACCTGAATCTTCATTCTGGGTGATTATTTCTATGGGAAAACATACAGAATTTTCTATTTTTATTGGCAAAGCTAGGTCTCAAAATTGAAATTAAAATATCATTACTGAAAATGTGCTGATCAGTTATGGTTCCAGTAGGGTATGGGAACAGGTACCAGTTTTCATGAAATTGTGTGTTTTCAGAAGCTTTTATAATGTAGAGGAGATCCTCAGCTGCCTATGATGCTCCAGCCTGTGGTTGGGACATGTAGCTCCCTGCCAGCCCGAGATGCAGCCCTAGCCCCTGGCCTGGTGTCCCAAGGAGGGTGGTTGTAGCCGGGGGTAGAGGAAGGGGTGTGCACTTGTGTTTCCAGCTGCCTGGAGCCACCTGCCTGTCCCGTGTGGCCTGGCAGGCCTGGGGAGGCCTGAGCATTGTTGGTCAGCTGTAGGTTTCTATCACTCTGTCATGTGAGCGTGCTGGTTTTCCTCCAGCTGAGCCCCCCCCCCTCCGCCATCCCTGCTGTGTGAACGACTTCCACTCTTTCAGGATTGCGAGGGCTCTCACCCCAAAGTGAGGGAGGAGGTCTAGTTGCTTGTCAGCTGGCTTCCTTATTACAATTCTCTCGCCCAACACATGCAGACACACTCAGCGCTCCTGTGCGTACACACACCCCCACCTCTGGCTGTCTCTGCCCCCACCTGTGGTGTGGACGTTGCAAGCCCCGCAAGCCACTGTGGCTTGGGCCAGGTCTCCCTCTCCCGCTGCTGGCTGAGGAAGGCGCCTGGGTTTGCCACATCTGCCTTGTGGGGCTTCTGATTTCTCTGGGGCATAGCTGAAGCCCTGGTTGGACACGGCAACCAGATGGGTGCTGGGGTCCAGGCACCTGCAGGCAGTTGGAGACCCCCCAGGGCTCCTGCTCAGCCCTCGCCTTTGGGATGAGTGGGACCTCATGGGCAGGGTCTGCTCTGGTTGAGCAGAGATGCTGTGAGCTGTCTAGGAACGCAGAACCATGTGGTCTGGTTTGGAGATGGCCTGATGCCTCTGCCAGTGCACATGTGGCTGGCCAGGCGCTGGACGTTCCTTGAAAGGAATTTGGGATGGCTCACAGGCACAATTCTGTTTTTCCTGCAGAATCTCATCAGCTTACCTGTAGCTGATGACCTTGGCTTGGGGTGAAGGAGGCACTGGGCATGTGCTCTCAGTGCCCTAGGAATTCGGGGCCTGTCTCTGGGGCTGCTGCAGATGGTACACAAGTTGGTGGACCCTCTAAAATCTAGAGCCCCTGATTTATAATTCAAAGTCTTGACCTTTGATTTTTGAAAAAAATATTTTATGTTCATCTGCTTAGATGCAAGGGAACCTAAAACCAGAATGACAGTAGCAGAAGCAGGACTGTCCAGTGCTGAGGGTCACACATATCAGCATGGCCCCAGGCTGCTCCCAGTGGGCCTCAGACCCTGCTTTCCTGTCATCCCCAGCTTTGTGTGATGGCGCACCTCTATGGGAGGTGGCAGGTGGCAGGTGGCACCCCTTTTGGGGCCAGGTGGTTGCTGCCTAGAGCAGGTTCATATAGCTCTGCATGAGCAGTTTTGTTGAGCAGCCACCACATCTCTTTAACAAGTGGCTGGAGTGGACTGGTTTTACATCTGTGACCTGTAGATGGGCTCATGTCCCAGTGACAGAAGACCTCTCCACAGCAGCTCTCCTGCCATCTGTCCAGTCACTGCCCCATGACATTCCTGCTAGCTCGTGGGTGTGCTGTGGGGTGAGCGCTATCCACATGTGGACCAGGGCAGGGGCGGAGTGAGAGCAGGTGGCGGGGGAGCCTGGTGAGGGGCTGCGTGCTCTGCCTATGTCACTACCAGCCTGCGGGGACATGCTGGGCCAAGTGGTTTGCATAAAGAAGTGACCTTCCCTGTCAAATCCACCTTGATTTGAATAAAGAGGAAGTTATTTCATGAATCCTCATTTTGTGACCAAATTATGTGATCAATTGTACCTTTAAAGATTGAATCATTAGGGCAGCCCAGGTGGCTCAGTGGTTTAGCGCCACCTTCAGCCTGGGGTGTGATCCTGGGGTCCCGGGATGGAGTCAGGCTCCCTGCATGCAGGCTGCTTCTCCCTCGGCCTGTGTCTCTGCCTCTCTCTCTCTCTCTCTCTCTCTCTCTCTCTCTCTCTCTCTGTGACTCCCATGAATAAATAAATAAATAATCTTAAAAAAAAAGATTGAATCATTAGAATTTTACTTCTCAGTCAGTAATTACGCACAAGAGAAGTCAGTGTATTTTATAGAGCCAAATAATTTCCTTAAACGTGCTGATTTCAAAGAGGAGCTCTGCTCCCCTAAGGGAAGTGTTTACTTACTATAATTCACTGTGGGACTGTTTCCAGCACATTTTCTAACCATGGAGACAGATTGTTATGAGGCATGTCCTGGCTCCAGCAGGTTTGGATTTGGGTTGTGTAGCATCAGTCAGCTTGTGTTCTGAGCCCACATTTGTAGGTGCCAGTGTACTGGAGCTGGGTGAGAGTGATGCCCTTTAAAGGCCCTGAACCGTGTGGTGGCACCTGTCTGAGGGCACTGTGTATATGGCCCAGGAGGGGAGCCCGATCCCCGGGTTGCTGAGATCACACCTAGGCCAGGTTGAGAGGCTGCTCCAGCAGAGGTGTGGTTGCACAGTGGGCAACACACAGGTGCTACCCAAAAGTGCAGGACCAGGGGATGGTGGGGATGGTACCAGGGGCCCTGTCTGTGCCAGGGGGGCTGCTGTCATGTGTGGTCTGGAGGTAGGCTGTGGCCAGGAGGTGGAGGGGAGGAGGCCAGTACACACTGCTGGTGTGTAGCCCTGGAGCAGAAGCCTTAATGGGTGGGGTGGCCTGCTGGGTCGTGGGCCCTGGTCGACTAGACAAGGAGAGGTGCCACCTGAGTGGACAGGGCTCTGTTTGCAGCGATTGCCCTGGGAGCCCCCATCTTTAGCAGCATAGGGAAGAACTGGCTGCAGGAGGCAGGAAGTGGCAGTGCTGGCCCAGCTGGGGAGTTGGGTCTCAGCGGGGCAGTACCCTGGGTCAGTAGGATGCTGCCTCCTGCATAACCCCCTGGAAATGCTTTAAGCTGATATCTTTTCTGTTGCAGACTTTAAAAAATTCAAAAAGCCTTTGCTCCCTTGATTATGAAGATGAAGAGGAGGATGACGCCCAAGTGAAGCTGACCCCGTATGACCCACACGGCCTCACGGGCATTGTCACACCTGGCTCCAACCCACTGAGGGTGTCCCCCAGGCCCTGCTGCCCCAGCCCGTGGGCCTCTGGGGAGCCCATGGCCGCTGAGGGGGAGGGTGGGAGTAGCGGAGACCCCAGTGACTGGGATAGTGCTGGGGAGGAGGGCGTCTTCCCTCCCAGCCGGGGTGAGCTGGACCTGGGGCAGATTGAGAACAATTGACCCCAGGCAGGTGGGTTGGGTATCCGGTCTCTTCCCAGCACATGGACAGAAGCGGGGCTGTGCATAACTTTAAACATTAGGTCTCATTTTGATCTAGTCTTCCCTAAAGATGTGTTTTGGATTTTTATGGCTTTTATGCTTTTAGAGAGAGCTCCATTTTGAATGAATTCTTAGAAGGGCATTCTATGAAATGGAGGCCCATGGGCTGATCCCAATGTGGGTTTGTGGGTTTGTGGTTGGGTTTGTGTTCCTTTTGTAAAATGCCTGCCGGGCAGAGTCCAGGAGATCTGGGTGGGAGGTCTGCGCGGGGGGGTCTGGACAGGGGATTCAGGTGGGTGGTCTAGGAGGTCCAGGCAGAGGGTCCAGGCGAGGGGGTCCAGATGGCAGTCTGGGTGAGGTGTCTGGCCCCTCCAGTAGTCTCTGTCCTCCATGTGTGCCTGCCTCCTTCTGTCTGCCCTTTGGGGTGGTAGACACTGGTCTCTGCACCAGGAGCTGTGGGATGGGCCTTGAGGATGGTGGTCCTGGCAGCACCAGATATGACTTCAATAAAAAATGTTTACTTTGCTGTGTTGATTCCTGGTGTAAAGCAGCTGGGCCTCAGGTGTGGGTGCAGCACAGGACAGAGTATGTTGTCTCTGGTGTTTCACTCCTGATTCTAATGACATGGGGATTTCTACCAGAGACTCCAACCCCAGGAGCTTTGGGGTAAGAGGACGCAGGTTGTGGTAGCAAAAGAATACAGTAAGAACCTTTGGGGAGATCTTGATGTTTTTTTCCCCCCGAGAACATTTCCTCACATCATAGCTGTTAATGGTGTCCAACTCCCTGGGTAGACTGTCGGTGGGAGGAGGACAGAGGCAGGAGGTGCCAGATTTTCTCAGGCCTGCTTGCTGGCCCCTTCCCTGCAGGTTGGGGGGTCCTACAGCCTGCCCTGCCCTGCTCTGAACTCCCATCACGTGGGATAAAGCCAGTGGCACCGGGGCTGACATGGGGCTGGCTCCCGCGAATCCCACTGATTCGTGGGAGCCAGGAGTGGCCATGATGGCTTCTTGATGACTGTCGGAGAGAACTTTTTTCCTCTTAAGCTCTAGGCTGTGGTCCGAGGGTCCCTGAGACTTGTGGAGGTGCCCAGTTCCACTTTGTTAGCTTGCTGGCGAGCCTCCTGAGGGAGCAGGCACCTGGCATCTGTATGGAGGGGCAAAAGGTTCAGCAGGTGTGCTGTGGCCAGAGTTCAGTGCAGAAAGCCGCCTGTGCTTTGTTCTAGAATAGTCCCCCTGTCTAGTTAGTGGCTCTCAACTGTGGGGGAGTCTACAAAAATACTGGCATCTGGGCCCCTCTGGGGTGTTGCCTGGCAGGGGAGGGGTGTTGTTTACAGCTGTTTGTGTTTAGCCTGAAGAGGAGAGAGAAATGGTATGGGTGGCTCAGCGTATCCCAGGGCTGGCAGACCTTTGGCTGAGCATGGGTCTGGAGTGGGACCAGAGCCAGAGGGCCACTTGCAATGCAGAGGTGCCTTTGGTGGTTTCTGAGAGGGGACTTTGGGGTCATGCTGGTGCCTTAGAGTGTCACCAGCATCCCCAGAGCCACCACCTGGCTACACATGAGGTGGAGCGGCCCAGAGAGCCCCTGGGACCTGCAGACTGGCTCTTGGTGGGCACAGGACTTGGGCCCTGGGACCCGTGCATTGAATTTCCAGCACAAATGCCAGATTCTCCACTAGGAGGTTGTGTTTTGGGTTGAATTTCTGGAGATAGGCTCTGTATACTTACCTGCATAAAGCCAGTGTCCCAACTCAGAACTTTGCTTTGGGGTTGACCTGTGGATCCGATGGGGTGGGGGGTGGGTGATGCTACCAGATTGTTGGGTGTGGGCAAGGTCCCTGTGCTGACAGAGCCTGGCCACGGGGCTGTGGGGCCTACAGGTCACTGATGCCCTCCGGGATGGGGCAGCCTGGACAGCCACAGGAGCCTTGGGGGGCATCATGGAGGTGGTGTCAGGCTGCAGGAGAGCCTGCCTGGGATGTCTCCTTGGCCGCAGCTGGGTGGGGGTCCTGGCCTGGCTGTGTCTGCTGCAGGTCCCAGGCTGGGAAAGAACAGGAGAGGATCAGACACAGAGGGGCTGTACTATAGGTATGAGGAAGCCCAGCTGCCGCCCTGACCTGGGCACTCTGGGCAGGTGGTAGGTGGGTGGGGGGAGGGCCAGGGCAGGCTGAGTCAGGTCTGGCTGTGTGGTGGCAGGAGTATGGACACTATAAGGCCATGGCAGTCAAGGGGCCCAGAGATCAGTCCCCTTTGAGGGCCCCTCATCCCCTGCAGCATGGAGGAACCCTGCTGTCCCTGGTGGTGACCCTCCAGGGGTCCGCCCAGTGTCCCCTCCTGCTGGATGGAGAGCAGGCTTGGAGAGGCACCCCCAGCTCAGTGCCCCTGGAGCACTGGGGTTAGAGTACTTCCCACCTGTTGTTGTGAATGGAACCCTCCCTCAGCCAGGAGCAGACAGAGGGTATGGTGGGCTTGTTCTGTGTCCCCACCCAGGACAGGACCTGCTGTCCGCATGCAGCTGGCTCTGAGCTCAGCCCTGGGCAGGAGGTAGTGAGGGACAGGGTGCTGAATGTGAACTTGGCCCCGCCTGGCCCCTGGGTCCTGCCTCAGCACCTGTCCAGGGGACTCCTGCTGGGGGGGTGGGGGACTGTGATGCCCCCCACAAGGAGCACTTGAGCTTGTGCCTGACTGCCTCCCCCATTCTGCACATCCTCCTTGTGCATCTCCTCACTTCTCGCTCAGTTTCCCCCCATGCCCTGCTCAGGGGGGCCAGGATAAAGAGCCCCTCCTATCTTAGCCTGGGTCTCACTTCCATTAGCTTTGGCCCTGCAGCCATATGGGATTCAGGTGGCCTCCCTGGGCCCTTACACTGGCCGTGGGATCAGTGGCTGAGGTCCTGCAGTCCTCTCACTGAAGCCACATGAAAAGCCAAGTGGGGGCCTCCATGGGTCTACCTCAGCAGTCATTCCTCAGCAGGCCTTCCAGGTTAAGGCAGACCCTGCCTGGTGGAAGTGACTGCTAGACACCATGGCCCTGGGAAGTGGGCAGGGGTCATCCCGGGCCTTCGGGGACAATCATGTTCTTGGGCTGGGAGTCTCGAAAGGCCCCTCTTCACCTGGTGGCTTGGGCTGCCGACAGTGCCCCCCCCCCCCCAGGACTCTTGCTCTTCCTGGAGGCCCTGTCCCCTCCCCCACTCTAGGCCTCCCAGAGCACAGGGGGCAGAGGCTGGGAGATGGAGATGGGGCCTCTTGCTGAGGAGCTGGACAGCAGCCCCCTTCACTAGCCCTCACTGTCCAGGCTCCCTGTATCCCTGTCTAGGCCTTCATACATCACCCTCAGCACACCCTGGAGGATTGGCCTCACTCCTGGGCTGATCCTGCAGTACCTGTCCCCTCCCTGCTTTGGCCCACTGTGACTCCCTCAGTGTCCTTGGGAAACCAGGCTCAGGGAAGGCAGCCCCCTGGGGATGGGCCAGCCCTGAGACCCCTGCCCACAGCACCAGCCACTTCTTTGCTGGTCTGTGCACTGAACCCTCCACGGCTGTGGTCCTGGCCAAATCTGTGCCTCTATAGGTATAGGTCCCTCCACTAGGTGGCTTGGGGTGGCTCTGAGGGACCGGGGCACAGCCTGGGGCCAGTGGGGACAGTCCACCTCATGTGCGGGCCCTGCCCTCCCACCTCTCGTCCCTCGTCCTGGATTTTCTCTGGCCACCTCTGCCTGAGTGCCAGTGCCCAGATCCTCCACACTGGAGCCAGGCAACACCTTGGAGCAGAGTGTCTGCAGGCATCCCATCCAGCGGGTGACCCCCTGCCTGTCTGGACTCCCTGGAGGACCCTGAACCCTTGCCGGTCCCAGTGGTTGGCTGACACCTGGCCAGAGACGCAGATGCAGACCCCTCTGTAGAAACATCAGAGAGCAGGTCTCAGGAACTCCTGTACTTGCTCTTTGGGTGGATGTTGCTGAATGATGGCTGGGCACTGCAGCAGCTTGGGCAGGTGAGCCAGGGCAGGTATCGGGAATCCTGTTCCATATGTGAACAAGAGCCGTGAGGTGGGAGGCATCTGGGGGCTTGAGTGGAGAGGGGGTGGGTGGGGGAAATAGTTAGCTCAGACACGCTGGTTTGCACACTCTATGAAAAGGAACCAGAGGGACGCCTGGGTGGCTCAGCGGTTGAGCATCTGCCTTTGGCTTGGGGTGTGATCCTGGAGTCCTGGGATGGAGTCCTATGTCGGGCTCCCTGAATGGAAGCTGCTTCTCCCTCTGCCTGTGTCTCTCCCTCTCTTCTCTCTCTCTGTCACGTATAAATAAATTCTTTTTTTTTTTAAATAAATTCTTAAAAAAAAAAAAAAAGAAAGAAAAGGGACCAGAGTTTCCAGGGAGCATAAGGGAAACCTGCAAATATAACTATTTCCAGAAGCTATATGTCCATAGCAAGACCTAACAATTACCAGTAGGAACTCACAAATCTGACATTCTCGTTGGAGAGTTTTATTAATCCCCTCGTAGTAGTTACATAGACCCAAGAGTAAACAATACAGACTTACCAGATTTGGCCCCCCTGTGGGGGTGAACTCCAGCTGCCCATGCACCTGTGGAGCGCACCTGCAAAAAAGGGGAACAGCATGGGCTGAAGCTGCCAAAATTGACTGTGAATAGGCCAGAAAGAAGTCGATGTGATTCAAGGAATTGGTATCACCCAGATCATGTTTTCTTGCCATGCCTCGATAACAAAAAGATTGCAAACAAAACCTCATGTGTTTAGGAAATTTAGAAATGCACTTTATGTAACTCATAGACCAAAGAAGAAACCAGGATACAAGTTAGATGGTATTAGAACTGAATGATCGTGAAAATGGTGCGTATCAAATCTTACCAAATATACCAAGTTGTAAAAAGACATTCAGGGCGCTTGGAGGGCTCCCACTGGTGAAGCATCTGCCTTCAGCTCAGGTCATGATCTCAGGGTCCTGGGATCGAGTTCTGCATCGGGCTCCCTGCTTAGTGGGGAGTCTGCTTCTCCTGCTGCCCCTACCCCCCACCCTTGTGTGCACACATGCATGCACTGTCTCACGCTCTCATGCACTCCCTTTCAAATAAAAATCTTTTTTTTCAAATAAAAATCTTTAAAAGATAAAAATAGAGGACATCTATAACTCTACATGACTAGTTAGAAGAAATAAAAGTCAGAAATCAAGCGAACATCCAACTTAAGAATCAGGCCAAGGTGGGCAGCCCCAGTGGCCCAGTGGTTTAGCGCCACCTTCAGCCCTGGGTGTGATCCTGGAGACCCAGGATTGAGTCCCACGTTGGGGTCCCTGCATGAAGCCTGCTTTTCCCTCTGCCTGTGTGCCTCTCATGAATAAAGATTTTTTATTTATCTTGGGTCTCCAGGATCATACCCCGGGCTGAAGGCGGCACTAAACCCCTTGGGCCACCGGGGCTACCCAATAAATAAAATCTTAAAAAAAAAATGAGGCCGAGGTTAGCAAACTTCCTTGAATGGGCCAGACAGTTGATATTCTGGGTTTTGAGGATGGCAGGTCTATTCTTTCTCCTCCTCCCCCCTCTGATTTCATCCCCACAGTGTCATGTGCTGATCCCCGAATTTGGGGAATGAAAGAGTTAAGGCCAAAGGGAAAAGAAGGAGAAGGATCGTTAAGAGCAGCAGCGAGTGAAGCAGACGAGAAACC